GCGCTGTAAGGGAAGCAACCAATCGAGGTTTCTCTCGCATTGATATTTCTACACACACCCTCCTCCCTCCCTCTCCCTCCCTCCCTCTCTAAAATCAATGAACACATCCTCTGGTGAGGATTTTTTAAAAACCATTTTAAAGAAACCCTCTATTCAGCCTATCGGCTCCATCTATGGCTAAGAGCAGGGTGTTGGAGTCAGCAGACAGACCTGCTTTGGAATCCTGTTTAGTCATTTGCAACTTTTCTGACTTTAGACAAGGCAATTTATTTCCGAGCCTCCGTTTCCTCATTTGTAAAATGGGCTAATATCTACCCCGTGGCATTGTTTTGAGGATTAAATGAGATAGTGCATGAGGAGGGATCAACTCAGTGCCTGGCATTTGTAAGCGCCACGAGTGCTCTTTAAAAATGCACAGATGGCCCAGCGGGCATGCTCAGTGGTTGAGCCTGGATCTATGAACCATGAGGTCAGGGCACGTGCCCGAGTTCTGGGATCCATCCCCAGTGGGGGACGTGATCAGTGATTCTCTGTCATTATTGATGTTTCTATTTCTCCCTCCCTCCCTCCCTCTCTGAAATCAATAAAATGTATATATATTTTTAAATGTACAGATCATTTTATAAGCTACTGTTTTGCACATATTACAGTTGTTTCCTAAGTTAGTAATTTGTTAGTTGGTTTCTTTCTTTCCCCTCCCTCCCTCTCTGAAATCAGTAAAATATATATATATTTTAAATGTACAGATCATTTTATAAGCTACTGTTTGGCACATATTACAGAGTTGATTCCTAAGTTAGTAATTTGTTAGTTGGTTTCTTTCTTTACATACATATATAGGATAACGTAATCCACCTAAGGCCTTAGTTAACCCAATCTCTTTTTCAGTATTTTCTCCTTGTACAGTAAGTTGCGAGGAATGTTGGTTAAATGACAGGAGTGGTGAATCACCCCGTGGAGCTGGGAGAGTGGTGTGGAGGGGCCAGAGTTCACCGCTGTGCCTTCCAGCCTGCGCGAGGGGCCCAGCAGAGCAGCAGATCTTAGTTCTGCAAGCAGAACTTGCCTGACTTTTGCGCCACAATTACCTGTTTTGTTTTTCAGGTCTTCTTGGTGAGAACATTTATCTGGTCTTGTTTACCATAGCATTACGAATATGTAACTGCTTTTTAGTCCAGACAAGTTTTGTTCCAGATGAGTACTGGCAGTCTCTTGAAGTTGCACATCATATGGTTTTCAAATATCCTTTGTATTTTCTTGTCCAGATTAGAAATGTGTATTCAATTCATCTTGGGAACTGTGTTACTTTCTGTTACACATTTTCAGTCAATCCTCTATATTTTCTCCAAATAATTTTAATTTATCAAAGTATGCCATTATTTTATGCTAATATTTCATCTGTATATTTACTTGATGTTAATGTAATTGACTTAACCTTTAGCATATATCTCCACAGTGCTCAGAACTGTGGAGAAAATATATGAACTAAAAAACACATTCCTGCCTTGAAGAAGTTAAGAGTTTTGTTGGCCAATTGCATTTTTAATTTAAATATCTAGTATAAAATGCTGTGTTTTAAAGCTGCTGTGTTAAAAAATAAAACAGTTTTATATATGGAAATGAAAATTGGTTTTGTTTCGGTGCTATTTAAAATTAGTCCTTAATATTACTAATTATGGTTATTTGACCTGGGAATGGACAGAAAGATTGAGGGGTTACACTTACCCCTTAATCTTTGCAAGCATGTACAAGATTCTGCATCTTTTGGGGAATGATAGTGTTCAGTTGCTGGTAAGTTTAAATAAAAGTAATCAAAATAGTTCTGAAAAGTAGATTATTCCATCCTTTTTATTTTTTTAATGTATCTTGTTGAAAGTATTACAGTTGTTTCCTTTTTTCCCCCATTGACCGCCTCCACCCTGCCCCTACCCTCCCATTCCATTCTTTTTTAAAGGTTAGTCTATATTAACTAAATGGTATTATTGGTATCATGAAGTTCATTTTTAAAAGGCTACTCTGACCATTTCTGGGAAGCACAGGGTTCCAAAGACGTGCTGTGTCTGATGTAGCTCTTCAGTATGCGCTAAAATACAAGACTAAGCATGAAAGTGTCCTGCTGGGAGCAATCCTGTTAAGATTTTCAGAATGATTACATTATATATTAATTATTTGGATCCTTCATAAAGAGTCACTTGAGAGCAGGTTGTATCTTGTTTTTTTTAAACTTGTGAGCTGAAGACCATGTTATATGAGCTTATGAAGATTAAATACATATAAACACACTAAGAATTGTGTTGTAATTAAAACTTAGACAAAATCAATTTGACAAAAATTTAATGATATGCACAATCATTGTGCTACATTGTAATTAGGCCTCAATAGTAAGTAGGGTTGTAATTCCTGGAACATAAATTTCTGGAGTTATTTGCCAGGAGAGGATACAAAGGAAGAACTAATAGAACACAAGTTTCTCTGACCTCATTGTCAAGATCCTTTAAGCTATCATCAAGTTGGACTCAGCACTTGGGGTCTTCCCATTTTCTGTTAGGGAAGTACCCCAGAATTCCAAAGGCAGTCCAAATCCTGAGGGTTTTTTTTTTTTTTAAGCCTGAAAGACATTGAGGTTCTGGGATTTAAAAAAAAATTAAAGGCAGGATTATACCCTCCCCTTTGCAATGATACTTGATTCCCCATTATTAAGAAACAAGAATCAGACCCATGCTTCTCATGGAACTATCCTGAACGGTAGCAGAGTTTCACTGACACGGGTAGAACTTAGGAGCTGTGAATTCTCTTTTCTTCTCTCAGAGCCAACCAATTTTTCATTTTTAAAGATTTGATTTATTTTTAGAGAGAGAGGGAGAGAGAGAAACATGGATGTGAGATTGGCTGCCTCCTGCACAACCCCACCAAGGATCAAGCCTGCAACCCAGGCATGTACCCCGACAACCAACTGAGCCACACTGGCCCGGGCAAAATCTACCTTCTTTTAAATTTAAGATTTCTATATGACAACCCATGACAACTGATCATGCAGGGTATCCATTAAGTCTGGATATACACGATGTCATCAAGGAAATCTTATATCTCAGGAATAGGTTTTATTATCAATGAAGGGGTCTTCAAGAAAACTTCCTCTTCCTCCAAGCCCTGTTCACTGTAGCTGGCCCACTTGGCCATTTTGTGATTAAGAGGAAACCTCCCCTGGTCTCCATCCACACCCCACGCTACCACCTCTGCCAAAAAAGCACCTGGTGAAATTCCAGGTAGAGAAAACTAGGATGCGATCATCAGTCATTCATACTCTCATATTGATTATTCTAAATAAAGGTGATATAATTTTGAACTAGAAGGGGTCAGAGAAGTGAAGTACATAGACCAGGGTCACAGCATGTTTAAAGCAGAGCTAAAACTAGGTCCAAGGTCTACTTATTCACAGCCTAACGCTCTTTACATATCGCTTCTCTTTAAACTGCATGAGGTGTATGCACAAAATGAGGGACGACTTAGCACTGCACTGTCTGGTATGGTAGCCACTAATCACATGCAGTTATTAAGTATTTGTGACTAGTCCAAACTGAGGAGTGCTGTAAGTATAAAGTACATACTGGATGTCCAAGGCCTAGTATAAAATAATATAAAATACTTACAATATTTTATATTGATTAAAATGTTGAAATGATAATATTTTAGATATATTGGGTTAAATAAAGTAACTAAAACTCATTTTACTTGCTTGTGATATTTTACTTTGTGTGGTTCACATTCTATTTCTGCTGGACAGTCAGTGCTGGCTTAGAACATGTGAGAAGAGGGATAAGAAAGGAGACCTGATGGGTACCCCAGCGGGGCTTTGAGTAGTCAGAGGATGGTGCAAGGGCATTTGGCTCCTGGAGCTTAAGGGAGGAATTAGGAGCTTAAAGAACAGGAATATAGAATGGTCAGCTGCCAACACAGGCCTTGTCCTCAAGGTTTACCCCTGACATGTTTTCTCCTCTTTGCCCCACACCGCTACTTTGTATTTTCCAGAAACCATATGAAAGTATTACTTCTTTCTTTCCCAGTC